GAAAGTATAACTGTTGTACCTCATCCACTGGACCCCAAAAAGACCACCAAGGACCCAACACACCAAAATGCAAAAGCAAAGGATTATGGTGTAAGAGCGAGGCCACTGAGGACAAGTCAGTCTTTGGGTTGCAACAGCAAGAGGTTTATTTAGGACACAGGTACCTGTGGGCACAGAGTCTCCTCGGAGGACTTGCGCGCCCCAGGTTGAGTTCAGGGGTTTTTTATAAGGCAGAAGCAGGGTACAGAAGCAGAAGTGCGGTTATTGGTTAATTTCAAACACACATAGTAATTTCACCAGTAATTTCAAAGGTATGCAGAGATATGGGGTAAGGGCCGGGGCTGAGGGGAAGTAGGATTGCTAAATGGGAGGTGGCCTCAGAAGCACAGAAGATTTCCTGGTATCGGGCCCCCAGGGTGGTCAGGAGTTCTGTCTGTAAAACTTGTTTATGGCTTAATCTGTGAAGCTTGACCGGAGCCTGCCTGTCCTGCAGCCTTTTGATAAGGCTGGTTCTGGTTTTTGTTAAGTTTTAACAAGTGGGCTGTGGGCCCCTGAGCACTCATGGCGCCTAGTTTCTTTTTATTTTCTCACAACCTACTTTAAAAAAGTACTTCCACCCAAGCCCATGGTTATGTCCTAAATGCAATCAGGTGCACTCGCATAAGTACCAGGCTCTTGTTTGTACCAACCATTTCCATTCTGGCTGGGAATGGTGGACAATATTTGTTTATTTTTTTATATTAAGTATGTAATATTTCTTGAGCTCATTCTCCCCTTTTCTAAATCAATATTCTTTTTGCTTGCATTTATCTGTGTGTCTGTCCAACTGTGCATACATGCAGGTCACCCCTTGTCTGGCCACCAAAGAAACGACAAAATGGCCCTGTGATCTACAAGCATAGATCCCGGTAAAATAGTGTGGTGCATGAAACTGCAAAAATCCAGGTTCTAACCTAGCAGTGTTCACTTCCCACCTTTTCTAAAATCCCTTGCATGTGGCACAACCTCAAATAGCTCCTTGTTTTTCAACTAAATTGTGGTTCCCCCCCAAAAATGTACAATTCATTTGTCTTTGATTCTGCTAGATGATATATTATTTCTATAGCAGCCCATCTTTTTATAAGAAAAACATAGGCTATCAAAGCGTAGCTGAAGAGATGATTTCATTTGTTTTAGTGTTAAAATATAATTTTCATGTATGTCTAATGGCAATGAATATCATAGAACTGCACAGAAAACAGAATCACTGTGTTTTGGCTACATAATTTCATCACTTAGATCAGAAGGAAAAGCATATCCTGCCACTTTGTGATCAGCTACCTAAGTCATCAAATTTTAAGTGGCAAAGATATTAGTTAATAGAAATAAATCTCTTGACAGCCTTCCTCTAACAAAGCTCTCTAACAAAACCAAAACAAAGCAATAAGGATCTAATGTGTATGACCTTCAAATACTTTCTGGCTAGCCTGCTGGTGTGGGCTGAAGTCTGTGACTTAGCTTCATTAGCTTTGATTCCCTAAGTCTTCAGAATTCAAAAGAAAGATTATATAACACTTATCCATTATTTAAATGTCCAAAACTAATTTCTGTGAAGTATTTTCTAGAAATTTATATTGGATTTTCATGGTAACTGAATAGCAGTATTGAGGCAAGTTGGGTTATTGTTTGCATAGGTTTTCAAAAAAAAGAAGAAAACATTTTGAAGAGGTTATACTTTGGCTTTTAAAAAGGAACACTTCATGTTGTAAACAGAGACAGAAATCCCTTAGAAAGTATAGAATGCAGTGTAGCAACGCTATGACTTTCCTTCTATACATATCAGCAACCAGGGCTTTTAAGGATGATTTTCTATCCCATAATACTAGACTGTTTTTAAACTTCAGAAAATGGATTAAAAGAAAAGATAGCTATTTTCAGTTTTGAATCTCTGCATTAGCGCTGGTGAAACTCTTTCTCCTTTGCTCTAGCTTTTGCCAGCAGCAAGTGATTCCTGTACCTGCTTGATATTACTACAGTTCAGCCTTTAAAAGAATCATTGCTTTTCTTAATCCGCTGATGTCTCCAGACCACCGATTTTGTATTTGGTTTTCCTTCAGGATCTGCGAATGCACAGAGGCTGAGGCAGAGATCATTCTGCAGCTCAAGAGCGAGCTCAGAGAAAAGGAATTAAAATTGACAGATATACGACTGGAGGCCCTCAGCTCAGCTCATCATCTTGATCAGATCCGGGAAGCCATGAACCGCATGCAGGTTTGTGGAGCAGCTTTTTTGGACCACAAAGTGGAGCTATAGGAAGGCTGCCTTTTCTCTTCTCTTACTTACTGAGAACACATTCCACTTTTAAAACCACCATGCTAAGGTGCTCTATTTAGTCAGTCTTTGCAGCTCAGCTGTTAATACCAAATGGGGAATTTGCTCCACTCTAAGTTGGAAGTGGGAGGGCAAGTTGGCCAGTTGTACTCAAGGACCATTCAAGACACTTGTGTGAGTGATTGGATTCAGGCAGGAAGCATTAGAGAAACAACCACGATTTTTGTTTCTTTAATTTTCCACGAGGTACCTTCATTGTTGGCTTTTTAAAAATATTCTTTTTGAAATCTGATTTTCACCTATTTTCTATTGAAAAGCAAATATAATGAGGAAGGAAGAGAAATTCAGCATGAGCTTCCCGAATATAGAAGACTGATTTAGAATGCCATCTGCAAAAAGAAAGCTTCTGTCTTCCAGAAGCATCTAACGGCTAAATTCAGAACCAGTCTGTGCTCAGACCGAGTTTCCATTCTATTCTTGTAAACCAGTGATCACTTGGTGCCACGGACTTCTGACATAAGAAAACCAAATTGTGGAGCAGGTTTGCTTTCTGATGTATATATTCATGAAAAGGCTTTTCTTGTTTGTATGACCTTGGTGCCTGCCCTGTTTTGAAGAAAACAAAAAAAAAGTTCTCTTTTGTTAGTTAGGATCTAAAGAAATTTTAAATTCCCCACAGTTATTTTAGCTTTTGTCAGTTTTTCTACATTCCACAAATTCACAGAAATACAAATGGCATTACTTGCCTGTGAGAGTCCATTATGATTTTTAAAAAATAAGTATTAGGGCAAGAGATATGGTTCAGCAGTTAACTGTTTGCTGCTCTTACAGAGGACTTGAGCTTGCCTCCCAGCACCCATGAGGACCAACTCACGAAAGCCTGTAACTCCAGATGCCTGTTCTGGCCCCCATGGCACAGTACTCACATGCACAAACCTTCCACACAGACACAAGTACACACATAATTAAAAATAAAAATAAAATATTTTTAAAAGCAGTATTAGGAAATAATCCAGTTATACTCTTTAAGATTGATTGGTTGGCTGATTTTATGTGTCTGTGAGTGTATGCACACAAACGTGTGTGGTGTGTAAACTTGGGGAGGCCAGAAGAGGGTGTCATGTGTCTTGCTCTTATCACTCTCTGGCTGTTTCTTTGAGGCAGGATCTCTCCGGGAACTTGAGGCTCATGTTCTAGGTAACCTGGAAGCCCCAAGCCACAGCAATACTCCTGCCTCCACACCACTCAGAGCTGGGATACAAATGTGTGTGCACAGGATACTCAGCTTGTTCCAGGGGTGCTGGAATCTGAACTCTGGTCCTCTTGATTAAGTGCCAGCTGTTCCTTAACTGCTGAGCAATCTCTCCAGCCCCTTCATTATATTTTAATTTAAATGAAACCTAATCATGAAAAACTTCATTTTGGGCGGGACCTGGGATTGAATCCAGGATCTTGCAAATGTAAGCCCAGCACTCAAATACTGAGCTATATACTTAGTACAAAAAAGTTCTTAAAAGTATGATTTTTGAATAATGGGCCTGGAGATATAGCTTAATATACAATATTTGCCTAACATGTGTGAGGCCTGAGTTCAATTCCAAGTACCATAAATAACGACAGTAGTAATTGTGTCTATATTTATGAATGCAGGGATGCACATATGTGAGAGATAGAGAAAAGGTTAATTTCTTCAGAATGAAATCTCACTTTTTATAATTTATATTCCCTCATTTACATTTCACCACAATAATTAACAAACATACTAATTAACCCCGATACAAACTGTGGTATCATTTACTCAAACTATGGAAGTCTCATGTTTTCCATCTTCACAACAGAATGAAATTGAAATACTGAAGGCTGAAAACGACCGTTTGAAAGCTGAAAGTGGAAACACAGCAAAACCTGCTCGGCCTCCTTCCGAGTCCTCAAGCACTGCGTCCTCTTCTTCCTCGCGCCAGTCCTTAGGGCTTTCGCTCAACAACCTCAACATCACAGAGTCTGTTACCTCAGGTGATTCAGTGTGCATGCGTGCCCCAATCTCTGCAGGGATGGGGAACTGTCTGAAATCAAGAGAACCTTACTTCTCTTCAAAATGCTCACACCAACCAATCCTCAGAAATAGCAGGATATCTTTATCGTATAAATTTATTTTATTATTTGAAAAGAACATTCTCTGAGACAAAATCTTAAGAGATAGCTTTTTCTTAATCATTTTCAAAAAAAATCATTCGTGCTTGTGAAGTACTTCCTCCCTGATTATGAATGAGACAAGCAAATAATAAATATTGTCAGCAACGATTAGCGCTCTGAATATAGCAATAATAACTTCATGCCAGTTAATGGAGTTTTCAGTGTACAAAGCCAGTTTCTAAGTCTGACTACACAATCCTTCATGATGTTGGCTGGAGAACATAATGCTACTTTATCACCCAGTCTGTAGCTCTATTAAATTTTCAACAAACGAGAACACACTGGATTCTGTTATTGTATTCAGCATACTAATGATAGAACACTGGTACAGTTCTGATTCAATTTCAAACAGAATCATATGACATAATTTCATCTTCATATCTGATGCACTATTCAATTACAAAATATAGCTCTTCCTGTGACAGTCAATCATGGATATAGAATTTTCCTCAAGAATTGTTTACGTGGGGAATCTGTGGTAACTGCCTAGCAATACCACCAGATGGCGATGGAAATCAACGCTATACATGTTCCTGGGTAACTGTAGCTAGTGCTGGAAAACTAAGATCTGTTCCCCTAAATCACATTGACATGTGGAAGGAATAGTGGAGGAAGAGATAGATAAGGAAAATGATATAGCATAATGATGTTGATTATATGTTTAATAAATAACATCTTCAAATAAAAGTCAGAATTCTTTCAATTCTATTTTAATATCCTTTCATAATATAAAGCATATGCTGTAAAGAGACACTTTCTTTTGCTATATATCTGAAGGGCCTATTACAGCATCTTCTAATTAGACCAATAATGTTTATAAACATTTGGAAAAAAAATTGGACCGACTTACAGTCCACTAAAAAATGACAGCAGACCCATGATCTGAAATTGGTGTTTTTCCCTGGGAGTTGTTACTTTGAGTGACAAGGGAAAACCCAGACTGAGCCCTTTTGTGATCATCCTATTGCCCAGAGGAGAGTTTGAATGTTGAGCACACAGAGAAAGAAATGACAGTTTGGACAGTAAAACTTATGAAACATGGAACATAGAATATTTAAAAAACACCTCCTATGTTCTCAGTAATCCTACATAATGGATACTTTTCCCACCCCATTTTATACATGAGGAAACCAAGTCTTATAAAAGTGATAGTGCTCATTTTTGTCAAGATCATGCACCTAGTAAGTATTTAAACCCAGATCACTGCTTGAAATTTTAGCTGTGATATTAGTTTTTCTTTAAGTAAGTATCTATACAAACGACAAGGGCAGCATTGACTTGTTTAATTGTAAGTGTTTACTCCACTATTTTCAGAAGAAATTTTGTAGTTTAAGCTTAGGTTTTAAGAGATAGTATGATATGATGTGAATGGCTTATTCTAAAGAAAACTAGAGCAGATATGTGGACCAGGGGATAGGGTATGTCCCTTTCCAAAGACAACTACTTACACAACATCATTGCAGAGAACCCCTGCACCCCCAACCCCAGTCTCTACCTTACTTCTACCATGGACATGTTCCTGGAACTTTCCTAGCATTTTGTTTTCAGTGTATATGATTTTAGGGTCAGGGTCTTATGTAGGTAGCCTAGTAACCTAGGCAGCTAACCTGGAACTCATCACGTATCCAAGATTGGACGTGAACTCCCAAATCTCCTGCCTCTGACTCACAAGTACTGGAATTATAGGCAGATCATTCCCCCTTTTTAAGATCTCAGCTTTTGAACTCTTTTCCTGGCCATTCACTTGCCTAGGACTTTTTAGCCTTCTGGTCATATCCCAGACTTTACCTCCTCAGGAAAGCTTTTCAGAAGCTCTGCTCTGTCTAGACTTTCTCCTGTCCCTTCCTTCCTTTCACTGTCCTGTTTATTTCCTGCATATTCTGAAATTACCTTGCTGAAAACATAAGTTCCAGAAGAACAGAAATTTTTTTCTTACTTTGATATTTATCTCAATATTCAGATTATTTTCTAGTATCTTTTATTCTTAGTAAGTATTTGCTGGATGTTTATGAATACTCAAGAGCAATTGAGCAAAGCACTGAAGAGGAAGTTCAGTCATGAATTATAATAATTTGGATATGAACAGCCAATGGTACACTGCTCTAAACTTCTGAAACTAGGACCAATAGAATCAAAGTAATTTTCAAGGAAGACCTTTTATTAAGCTAATATTTGTGCATCTTTATAGGATAGGTTACAGGAATTCAGTACATGGATATGAATACAACATGTCATCATCAGCTCAGGGTGATAAACATTTTGACCTCTTCAAATATCAATTAGATTTATCCACTGAGGGTTTCATACTCTTCTAGTCAATCTGAAAATTGTGGGTTGTTTTAACATTTAGTTCCCTTTGGTGATGAAGAATAAAACACTATAATGTTATTGATCTAGGAAAACAGTTAAATTCTAGTAAAGGTATTTATTTTTGTGACCTAATACTTCCCAGTGATGGAAAGGGCAGGGGTGGAACTCAATTGTAGCATACCTGTCTAGAATGCACAAGGCCCTAGGTGCAACCTAGGTGCAATAATCGTGTAATTATATTAATAATACAATTTCCAGTCAAAAATTCCATTTACTATAGCTCTAAAAGTTGTTTATTAATGATGTGGTTTTAGACCTCTTTCCTGCTTCCTTTTTTAAATAACATATTTTGTTGTTATCATTATAATAGAAGCCTTTCCAACTGGGTGTGGTAGCTTATGCTAATAATCCCAACATGCAGGAGGCAGAAAGATTGCCATAGGTTCCAGGCAAGGCTGTGATGCAGAGTGAGACTGTGTCTCAAACAAACGAGCAAAATATAAGTGTTCCATTTTCAGAAGTCATCTTATTAAATTTTTCTGATTTTAACAGACACAGCATTTGTTTCTATGAAATTATTATCAGTGCAGTTGAGTCAGGCACATGCGCTCTTTAGCACATAACTAAATTTTCTTCATCCACAGAACACTATCTTCATATTAAGCATGGCTGAATAATAGCATCATTGCTGAAGGGAAACATATATGTGAGATAGTTTTCCATGATAATTCTCCAAATTAGACATTAATCTGGTATAATATATTTTGAAATTTAATGTTTAATCTCATTTAAAAGCTGGTATTATAAATACTAGCGAGCTTGAGCACTCTTCTGTAACGATTGGACTATTCCTAGAAACAGTACCTTGGTCTTGAAGCTGTTAGCATAAAGGGTGCAGGAGACAAATGACCGATGGACATCCTATAGGGATGTACAATGCTGTGGTTAAAAGTTAATGACAGTACCTAATCATGATTGGTATAAGCAAATAGCAACACAGATGCATCGTGTACCAAATGCTTGAAAATAATTTCATTCGAAAAATCTATTGCAATCTCCATATCTTTGTAGTTCATAAATTGCATGGGTATTTGTCTGGATAGAAAAAGCCAATTGCTTTTCAGTTTGTTACAGTTATAATAGTAAATGAATATTAGATATTATTCAAACATATCTGTAATAGAAAAAAAGAACCTACTTTCTCATCCAAAGGCAATGGACCAACATGTGGTTAAAGATCTCTGGAAGCAGAAATAAATTCTTAGATTTGAAATGTTAGTCCAACTTCATAATCCATCCTCTTAAAAGTGGGGTATTTTCAAACTGGTTACACTAGGGTGTGAAGCAGATTCTACTAAACCATCTTTAACAAGTAGGAGGGAGAAAAGATGGACAGGACAGAAATTTGAGCAAATGTTAGTCTGTAATGATTCTGTTTCTTTTAACATTTGTAGATATTTTGCTAGACGATGCTGGTGATACCACTGGACATAAGGATGGCCGCAGTGTGAAAATTATAGTCTCTATAAGCAAGGGCTATGGTCAAGCAAAGGTAATTCTTTAATTTCTTTAAGTAAAGAATGAGTATTCCTATCAGTTATATGTATCATATATCTGAATGCTTGTTCTAATAAAGTATCCTAATGGAGTCTTTGCATTGGTACCAGCTGATTCTGTTATGTAAGATGAAAAGATAGGGGAAATAAAGAAAGGCCTTGCCCTGCCCTTAGAAACATGCCTTACCTCTAGCTCGTGTTCACTCTCCGAAAACAGTATTAGTTGCCAACTTACCTTATTTCTGAAACTGAAAAACAGATAGTAATTTTCTTTGGTGTAAGCATCTTGTTCACCATAGTCTTTTAGTGTCACCTAAAGGTCATAGGTAGTGTTATGTTGTGTAGGAACATGTCCCTAGAGGTACTAATGCAATCTTTATGAAAAGAGGAGACTATGTGATAAATAAACAATGTAGAGATCATAGAGGTGACAGTCTACTGAGATCAGTAGGACAAATTCCATTAATGCTACTTGTCCACCTTTTTAAACATAGTTCTATTTGATCAGGAAATTAACTAATGCTCTAGATTCAAATATTATCATCAAATGAATGCATTTGACTCTCTTTCCTAAAGCTCAAAGGACATTTTAAATTGAATTGTTACTTAGTAGCCCAGAATATATATTTGTAAGTAAAATTGACTTTTTTTTGTTAAGCACCAGTAAAATTCTTCAAAGTTTTAAAATAATTGGAGTACTTAATTTTAAAAGGTGATATTGCACTTATGAAAATGTCACAAGGATTCTAGTGTCATGAACTTTCTGTTTGAGCTGCATATTTGTGCCTGCTTTTTCCAAGTGGTGAGAATCATTTACACTGATTGGGTTAAATCAGATAAAGGAGTATAGGCAGGCTCTGAGTCAGCTAAGTGATTTACCTGGGTCACATTTCCTTTTCTTTCTAAAAAAATATTTTATTTAGTATTTTATGTGTATGAGTGTATTGCCTACATGTATGTAAGCTCATCATATGTGTGCAGTGCCCTTGAAGGTCAGATGAGGGCATCGGGTCCCCTAGAACTGAAGTTACGGACAGTTGTTAGCTGCCATGTGGGTGCTGGGAATGGAACTTGGGTCCTCTGCAAGAGCAGCCAGTACTCTTAACCACTGAGCCATCTCTTCAGCCCCATGAGTGTCATTTCTTAATGAAGTTGTAGACTCTATGCTTTTTAGAATCCATGGCTTCTAATATTTGATTCAGTGATTACTCTACTATCCTTCATTGGACACTAGATGATTGAAACCAGGATTATAATATATTAGCTGATCCACCTATTGGTATCATAATTGGTATTTCAAGTAATTATCTCCACTCAACAAAAAAGATATTCCAAGTAAGCTACAAATGATTAATTCTAATATTTTTAGAGACACCTCAATAATCCATCCTACAAATAATAAAGATTTGAAGCCATTATTTTTTTTAAGTATGCTATATAATGAGTCCAGTAAGTTTCTCTGGCAAATTCTCATACATTTTCTAATAAAGTCAAATAGATAAATGTCATACTATGCTGGATAATTTAGTTATTAACACTGCATTGGGTTTTAAATTTGAATTAAAAATTAAAATATAAGTGTTAGATGTATCAAAGATAAAGTCCTAAAATATTAAGATACTCTAGGAAATCCTAGAGTATCTATGGCCTAGATCTATTCTGTTTTATTATCTTCCTTGGAAGCTTCTCCTCTCAGGAGTATATCCAATATATCAATATGCGTGGCAATTCTCCCCAATGCTTTCACATTCTGTTTCTTCTGGGTGCATCATGCATCAGCTTCTCTTGACCTTCCACATCATCCAATCCCTTTCTTCTCATTGTTCTGGCTGTTATTTATTTGGCCAGTTGACTAATTTTCTGGGGTATATTTTGTTATATATAATTCACCATGCATAATCATTCCCATAGAACCTATATGCTAATAGTCCTTTAATCTTAAACATAAACTACATTATTAAATTATAATAGAAAGTATGGTAATAAAGCATGATAACATGTTGATCTTAATTCATTCTATTCTCATTAAGGACCAGAAGTCTCAGGCATACTTAATAGGATCCATTGGTGTTAGTGGAAAAACCAAGTGGGATGTCTTAGATGGTGTCATTAGACGTCTCTTTAAGGTAAGCTGTCGAAGATAGCCTGAAATTAATTTTCATAATGCTTTCCCTTTTTGATGTTTTCCTTAGCTGTAATAACATAGACACACCTGCTTTTCCTTCCTCCATGTTAAACAAGAAAAATGTTCTCTCCTGGTCCTGTTTAATCCAATTGTTCTTAAATATCCCATGTCAAAAATTTTGACAACCAACTTTATATCCCCCATGGGATTTTATTTGTTGCAGAAGAATTGAGATGATTTTGACTTACCTTTGTGTGTACCATTTTAGGAATACGTGTTCCGAATTGATACATCCTCTAGTCTTGGTCTGAGCTCTGACTGTATTGCCAGCTACTGTATAGGAGACTTAATTAGATCCCATAACCTAGAAGTGCCTGAACTGCTGCCTTGTGGATACCTTGTTGGAGATAATAACACCATCACTGTGAATCTGAAAGGTAAAAGGAAAAACACAGTTTTTACCCATATCCCTTCTAATTTGCATAAATCTATAAACTACATAACATAATAATTTTGGCATAAAATATGAAATGGTCATGTTAATTTCCTTAAAATTTTTGACTCCTACTAAAAACCTTAAAATCCTAAGAAATTAAACTTAGAGTTCTAGAATACAATTATGTAGAGTCACTAAGACTCATAGAAAGACAGTTGACTTAAGGAATTTCAGTCTTGAGATTTTTCTCTAGTTCTTATCTTTTACAAAAGGCACTTTCAAAGAAAATATTTTTTCTGAACCGTTATATTCTTGGTTATATTTTGGATATATTAATAAATATCTCCTGGGGATATGGAATGGATGCTAAGAACCAGGGATGAGACAGTGTCTCCTTTGCTTTGGATAATTTGACCAATTAAAGCTAAAGAACACCCAGCAGACACTTGCCCCTGTAGTTCCTTGTTTGTATATGTACAAGCATAAGACAGCATCTCCATAAACTGTGGGTTAATAGACGGATTCATCAATATTTGCTTTTACAATTAAGGTAATTGGATTAGTAAAAGGAATTACTGTTGCTCTCTTTTTAATTCCTTACCAAATAACACAATTTGTAGTCTTCAAAAGCTTAAGTGCTTGTACAGCTGTGACGTGTAATGAGAGATAGAAGGTAATAAAGACAGTAAGGGGAAGAGAAAGAGAAAGGACATATACACTTCATATTAAACTGTGCACTTTTGAACAAAACTAACCACCTAAAGAAAGCAGCTCAGATGTTTGCTGTGCCTTATCACCAATGTATTTTGTCTCAAAAATGTCAACCAATGCTTGCAAATTAGAAGGATCTAGAAAATTATTTCACAAGGACTATATTCCTAGGATCAACAAATCTCTGTTTTGTGTTTGTCACTCAGATTCCCTCTTGATCTCCTGTGCTATCAAGCAAACCACATAACAAATCTTTATGTGCATTTATTAACTTACAAAGGAATGAGTACCCAGTGCCTAGCCCTACCTGCTGCTCAGAGCCTGCCATATCAGACCCTGCCACGCCCATAGTCATTGCTAGCATTCGCTCAAGCCTCAGGGGCCAGCGACCTTGCCTTGGGACCATAAGAGTCGGTCCATTCTGTCCTTCAGCTGCTGCAGGGCTGGTGCATTCCCCATGCCACGAGCACTACCCTCAGCTCACAGCTTCTGTCCCAAGATGGCTCCCAGCACATCTCCCCGCCCCCACCAAGTCCACACTCTGCGGCAGGCCCTGCCCCTTGCAGGAACTAGCCAATTGAGAGACAGTGTTATACCATATATTTTTTTGAATATTTTATTTATTATTTTTATTTTATGTGTATGTCTATATTACTTGCATATGTGTAAGTGCATCCGTGTCATGCAATTCCCCCGGAGGATAGAAGAGAGCATTGTCTCTCCTGGAACTGGAGTTGTGGGCAGTTGTCAGCCACCATGTGGGTGCTGGAATTCAAACCTAGGTCTTCTGCAAGAGTAACCAATGTTCTTAACTGCGGAGCTATCCCTCCAACCCCCAGCATATTTTTAATTCTGACTTGTATAACAAAATAAGATGTGCTATGCCTTTCATTTCTTCCTTCAGGTGTAGAAGAAAACAGTTTGGATAGTTTTGTTTTTGATACGTTGATTCCTAAACCAATTACCCAAAGGTACTTTAACTTGTTGATGGAGCATCACAGAATTATACTCTCAGGACCAAGTGGTACTGGAAAGACCTATTTAGCAAATAAACTTGCTGAATATGTAATAACCAAATCTGGAAGGAAGAAAACAGAGGATGCAATTGCTACTTTTAATGTGGATCACAAGTCAAGTAAGGTAAGTTACAGAATCTTATAGAACAACTGTTATTTATCCATAAGTGTCTTTAGCAATCAAAATTTAAATTATATGACTTCCATTTTGTCATCAAGAAACATGTCTTCCACTGACCAAAACTATAATCTAGTAGATGAACTTCACTTTATCAATTTGAGGAAAACTGTTTTCTATTAATTATTTTTAAGCATATTATATATATTTATTTATGAGTGTTTTGTCTGCATGTATGTTAGTGCACCCATTCATGCAATGTCTGCATAGGCCAGAAGAAGGTGTTGAATCCCCTCAACTAGAGTTACTAGTTGGTAACTAGTAACTAGTTGGTTCTTACTTGGTTCTAGATGGTTCTTAGTCACTGTGTGGATACTGGGAACTGAACCCAAGTCCTCTGTAAGAACAGCCAGTGCTCTTAACCACTGAGATATCATTTTAGCCCACAGCCAGTGCTTTTAAGAGCTGTGCCATCCCTCCAGCCCCTATTTTCAATTACTTTAACAATTCATTCTAGTTCATTTTTCTTTCTCTTTCAATTACCATCTTCTCTGAAGGGCATTGGAATTATGTAGAACACAATGGTAGAACCTCTGTTGCTGATTTCTTAGACATTTGCAAAGTGTTAGAAAGAGATCTGTATGTGGTGCTGTAGAAGCAAGGGGGGAAATGACTCCTTGAGGAGTGAGCCAGGCTTTGTTAAAAGACAGTGTGTGGTCTGAGCATCAGCAAATAAATAGGAAATTAATGGGAGCAATATAGGAAAAGGAATTGGTTTGGATATAGCTATAGTATTTGAGGTAGGAATTCTGGCAATGCAGATATTTGTTTATACCATAGCTCTATAGAAACTATGTTTAAGAACTTTTGGATACTGAACAATGTTACATGTTGCCACTGACTAAGTGCTAATATGCCATACTAATCAAAATGAACATTTTCACTTATTATATTGGCAGGAAAGGCTATAAATCTTAACCAGTACTTTCTCATATACTGGTAAAATAAAGGGTACTAAAAAAGAAAGATGATGGTTAATATATTCATAACACTAAGCTAGTTTTACAAGTTCTGCTTATTAAAATCCAAATCGATGCCACCTAAGGCTGTCTTGGGAAACTGCAACTGACATAAGGCCATACTACATTTTTTTTAAATACCCTGGTTAGATGATTTTAACTCATCAAGTCTCTTACTATGTTAGTCAGTTTCTTGGCACTGTGATAAAATACTTGAGATAAACTTCAGGAAGGCAAGATTTGCTTTGACCCATGTTTTAGAGGTTTTAGTTCTCGGTCAGCTAGCTCCCTTGCTATGACACACTGTCATGGTAGAACATCATAGAAACAGAGTCATGACAGAGCAAAGTTGCTCACCTGACAGCAGCCATAAATGAGAAAAGAAATTCTGGGGACAAGTTTTTCTTTGACTGTCCCTTTGGAACAGCTTATCAGTATAAACTCATCAGTGGATTAAATCATTAATAATATTAACAACACCTTGATCCATTCACTTCCTAAAAGCCTGTCAACTAGCAACAAACACTTTAACACTTGTGACTTTTAGAAGAAACATATAAAATTCCTAAAACCTCAGATTTGCTGATATTTAGAAGTTAATGTGATTCCCAAACCTATTGGATTATTGAAATAAACCAAACTTTTAACTAAATAAGTAAAAACTTCTCACCCTAGGTAGTTCATCAAGTCTGACCATTTAGAAATTTAGGGATCATTGCTGAATTCCTTTGTTGCTTCATTTTTTTCTCATCTGTAAAATAAGGGGAATTGTAGAATTGTGGTAAGGACTAAAAGAATAGAGAGAGAGAGATAATGGGAGAGAGTATGTGAGAGAGAGAGAGGGGAGAGAGAGAGAGAGAGAGAGAAATAGAGGTATTTTTTGGTAAAAGTGGATATATAAAAAGACAGAGACAAAACATAAGAAGTAGCAAACACAGTTAAGGTTTCCTTATGTCATTAATCATAGCCCTGGCTCCCAATGAAAATTTTCTTGCAAATACACCCTCATAGCACCACACTCCCTCATATACCTTTTATTTCATAACTGTCTTCAAAGAAAACAGTGGTATAAACTAAGTGAAATACTATGTCTTAAACTTAAATTCATATAACTCGTGAATTTGTAATAATTCTTTGGAATTCAGCATTATTCACACTGTGATTGAATTTCCCATTGTCACTTAGATGAGGAGAGACAGAAAACCTGAGGTGGAATACTTGACTCCTCTCTCAGCTGAAGTAGGAAGGGACAACTGTTTGTTTGCTTCCACCTGCATACTGTATGCCTTCTGTGATCCTCTCTCTTTATCTGTACATGAAAGCCTTTTAACACAGTGTGTTTTTCTTTTCAACCAAAAAGATGAAAGACTGTGAGGTCTCCTGGGTATCCCCTTAGTCTTTGGCTTTTTCTCAATGTCGATATTCCAAAACTCTGCCCAAGTTCTGTAGTTTATAAAACAAAACAAAACAGAAAGAGTGGCTAGAAAATAAGTAAGAAGGATTTACAAGAGAAGACCAAAGTGTTTTGATAAAATTAAAGATCATCTAATACAAAGGTTGGAATTAAATAGATCAACTCTAAACTTATTGGAATATAGTGTTACACCCTAAAGGAAAACAGGTCACCTCCACTGACAAAATATAGCTCATATTAAACTCTACTTATTTCTATATATTCTTTTGAGTTTAATTTTTTTAATGATTTACTTCTTGGAAAAATTCTTAATACTTTGTCCTATTAAATTTTTCTAACTAAATATTCCTAACACTTTTATTTTTCACTTTTTCAGAAGAACAATAACCATATTATTAAGACAGTTCGGTTTTTGTATTAAGTAGATCCTTGCTGGGGGGCAGATTCTCAGGAGTTTTTAAATGGAACTTACGATGCTATAAAGCATTTATAGGAAGATACCCATGGACAGACCATGGGACATTTATCAAGAAAACACAAAATCCAGCTAAAATATTTTGGTTGTTTCCTCAGGTTGTTAGATATGAATGAGCTGTCAGTTAGGCTGTGTGCAGAGTCACTGCCAGAGAATGTAGCTTAGTCTTTCCTGGTTGACAGAGTATCCACACAGTTATTTTGGGGGAGGTGGGTGTAAGAGGACGATATAAAAGAAGAGAAAATGACAAGATTGTGTTAGAGGTAGCTGTGAGCAGTGTGGATTTACTAAAATAAAATGGTAATGAGGCATGAAATAATAAATCCTTTCTCTGAAAAAAAAGGAGCTTTGTAATTGCTGCTGTTTTATGTTTTGCCATAGAAAACACTGCAGAGATACAGCCAAAAATCATTTATTGACTCAAAAGAAAAAAAATCAAATAATAAAGCATCAAATGGGAAAAGAAAAGTCTTCTCATGTCTTGGGTACCCCTGTATTTTATATTCTCTTCCTCTTCCCACACTTCAAGCCCTCCCTCAAGCTGCCAGCTGGAATATTTTGATTGAGAAGGGAACACATAAACAATTACACTTTGTAACATTTGATATACCAGGCCCAGAAGGATGGAGATGGATTTAGTAAAGAGTATGTGGCCAACTGAAGCCACTTGGAATGTTAGGTAGGAAAAGATCAGAAAACTCAGCTTGGCAGATGCATTTGTCAAGTGTCTCTAGAGTCAAAACCTGAGAAACCCATGATCACGTACTCATCTGACTGTGCTGATGTCAAGGTACAGACATGGGTTTGTGTCATTGTCCTGTCAGTCTGGTAATTTCACCATCTTCTCTCTTTTACCTAACTTGATAAAGACAGTAAATGCTTAGTGCAAATGCATCAGTACTTTGGTCTAAGATTTTCATCCCCACAAACTGGACTGAGAGTCACAAAGTACTTCCCAAAGGGTTTGAGTAAAACATCTTTGCATAAATCTACTTGAACTCCTGAATGGCCATAGCTTTCTGTACATTTGTACAGAAACTTGTGCCTGTCTATGTGGACACTGTATTTTGATGTTTCTGACTTTGTCTATTCCTCCCTATTTGGAAAGCTCTTCCTACATTTTTAAACATCAAAATATTATCTAACTCTAAAAATAAAGTTTTAGTTGCAAATACTACTGCCACTGAAAGTCTTTTCTAGAAGCTGTGAGTAATTTTAAAACACTGTAAAACAAAACCTTTGATCTATACAAGTAATATTATTTTACTGTTAATTATAGTTATAAATGTATGTGCCTAACATTTTATTCTAGGAAGTAAGATTCATGAATGCTTTTTTCGTTATTAATCTGTCTTTACTTTGATAAACAAATTGTTCTCCTTTACTGACAAGAGACAAGCAAACAATACATAGGTTCACACTTGTCATGTGGTACATTGCAACTTCCTCTTGGAGAATCCAATGTCTTTTCTCTTTTTTTTCTATTATACACACCAGGACCATGTACTATAGTCCCCTGCAACAGTAGTGTCCCTATGATTTCCCAAAATATATCAAGCATTCATACATATATTTCCAGCTTCGATTTTTGGTTCTTTAGATTCTAAATGTTTTTCCTCACTGTATTCTCTTATATAAACCACCACTATAAGCATCACTACTGCCACCACTACCACCACCATCACCGCCACCATCATTGCCACCAATACCACCACCACCTCTACCAACACCATCACTACCACCAATACCACTACCACCTCTACCAACCCCATCACCACCACAATACCACCACCACCTCTACCAACACCATCGCCACCACAATACCACTACCACCTCTACCAATACCATTACCACCACCAGTACCACCACCACCTCTACCAACACCATCACCACCACCAATACCACCACCACCTCTACCAACACCATCACCACCACCAATACAACCACCATCACCACCACCTCTACCACCACTATCATCACCACCACTACTTGTCACCCTCTACCACTACTACCACCACCACCACCATCACCACCAACATCACCACCACCATCACCATGACCACCATCACTACCACCACTACCACCACCACCATCACCACCCTATACAGACTTTCTTTAGTCTCTCTCTCATGCCATATTATTTATGTTGCATTTTATAAGTTCATTTGTGCTGTGTGTATACACTACATTATTTACTACATTCTAGCATTACCACCTCCAGAAAACTATCTTGAATATCTATCTACCTGATAGGTTAACTCTCTTCTCTTGACTTCTCAAAACATATAATATACTCATGGCATCATACTTAGGTGAATTATCATTAAAAGTCTTTCATGTGACAACTTGTGTGTGTGTGTCTGTGTGTGTGTGTTTGAGACAGGGTTTCCCTGTAACTACAGTGGGCCTAGATCTTGCTATGGAGACTAGTCTGCCCTGAAAATCACAGATATCCTCCCACCTCTACCTCCTCCAGAGTACTGTGATTAAAGATGTGGGCCACCACACCCAGCCCCAGACTGCCTTTTCTAATATCTATGTCTAGAAAAGTACTTAATACAATTGAAAATAAATGTTAAAACTTACTTGTAGTCTACAGTATCAGGGATAGTTCTTTGTCCTTTCTGAATATCCCGTGTCTGGGTCTAAGATGATGGCAACTTTATAAGTGGATGGATGACTTAATATATCTGGATAATGATAATTTTTTTAAATTTAATGGAAATGAAATTCTCTAGGCTCTTCATTAGTTTTAAATATATTTTCTCTATATTTTCTGCATTGGGCAACGTGTAATGAGTGGTTTTATCCTATTTCACACTATCTTTTTTAGTATCAAATAGTATTTTAGTTCTTTAATAGATTTTGTATTTAAACTTAAATGATTATTACTAAATGCTGCAGCACTGCCTTGGTCATTGTTTCATCCACTCTAGTTTTAATTCTCTACCCTGTCTTATAGCTGAATGAGGAACTATCTAGTAGTATGTGGCTAATGTGCTTACCTGATCCCAGAAATTGGGATCATGGAATTGTTTTTAACCCTGAGAAAGATGTACAAATTGAAAATAGCATCACAAATATGCAAATATTATGGAAATGCTCTTACTGATTAGGATAATTCTAAGAAACCTAATTTTGTTTCTGACCTACCCATCTGTGAGAACAGTCAATCAGAGAACTGGTTATCGTATTTATATTCAAAGTCATTAGACAGAATTAATACCTGCAAAAGAACCAAGAAGCTCAGGAAATGCTGAGTACTTGTGTTAAATGACCCAGTGAAATATACGAAGTGTTATCTCTGCTTAAAATTATAGCAGTTGCCTACAAATTATTATCCACACATGAATCCAAGTCCTAGGGCCCTCTGTTGGATACAACTCATCATCTAAATGCATTGAACTGAATTGCTAAAGGTATTAAAGAAAACTAAGAGGTGCCATTTTGCATTTAGTCTATAATTGAAATTATAAAATTGATAGAAATCTGCTTTATTGAAATATCACAAACAAAAATAGAGACTTGATATTTATAGTTTACCATAAAAGCTCCATTCTAAAACTTGAGTTTTGTTTTGAGAGGAAACCACTGAAATGTGCCTTCGCTAACAGTTTTATGTTTGCTGAAGAAATGAAGTCTTCTTACTTTTCCTTCTCTTTTATTTATCTTTTTAAATTCTCTTCTGAGTTTTAAAAGTGGTTTTTTTGCAGCTGTTTTTCAGAATAAAACAGTCTTGGGAATTTTAATTTTAAAAACTGGATGGGCAGGCCTGTTGGTTCTCACCTTTAGTCCCAGCACTCAGGAGGCAGAGGCAGTCAGATCTCTGTGAGATAAAGGCCAGCCTAGCTCTACACAGCAAGTTCCAGGCTGTCAGGGGCTAAAGGAAGACCCTGTCTCAGTGAATAAGTAAATAAATAAATAAATAAATAAATAAATAAAGGGGCTGGAGAGATGGCTCAGCGGTTAAGAGCTTTGATTCTATACAGAGGACCCAGGTTCGATTCCCAGCATCCACATGGTGGCTAACAACCATCTGTGACTGCAGCTCCAGGGGATCTGATGCCCTCATTGGAGTTCCACAGGCATTGCACAACACAGGTGCACTTACATCCATGCAGACGATACACTCATACACATAAAAATAAATTTAAAATATTTAAAATGAAAAAATATTTTAAAAATTGATGGAAGATACAGTATGCTATTCCCAAAATATGACCTGATTCCAGTGGATTAGATTCATCTTTGATATATTTTTCTTTATTTTATAGGAACTACAGCAATATCTAGCTAACCTGGCTGAACAGTGCAGTGCTGATAATAATGGTGTTGAGCTTCCCATTGTAATAATTCTTGATAATCTTCATCACGTGGGCTCTTTGAGTGATATCTTCAATGGTTTCCTCAACTGTAAATACAACAAATGGTATGCTTATTAAATATTTTGAATAATCAAGTATAAAAACACAGTGATGTCATCTGCTTCTTTTACCTTTTTGTATTTTAAGACTTACATTGGATGCCATTGATTTGCGACCCCCATAATAGTATATTATATCTCCACAAAATCTTTACATATGCTTTAGAATATCTTCTAATTCACAGCTATGTCCAAGGAATTTTTATGGAAGCATTGGTTCCTCTTTGATAATGTTAGTTTCTACAGACATGCTAGAAGCCTAGAGTACCAATATCAGTGGTGGAATACTTGAATTTGGGGAATGTAATAACTAAAAGGAGATATTAAAGTTCTAACTAGTTTTTATTCTCAGTCTCTATCAAAATTGAAGTTTTCTGAGGTGTAGGAGATGAGGCTGGAAAGATTGCAAGAGCCAGAAATCCAGGATGCCCGCTGCAAGATCATGTCTTCTAGACATAACAGGGAAGCTGCACCCATGAAATCTCAATAATGTGGCTACCTAAACAAAACCTGCATAATGACATCACCAGTTGACATGTCAGTGTGGATGGAGGAAATTTTATAACGTTAAACCTCTAGATAAAAAACTACAGGCAATTGATGGTTACAGGGAAGGAGAATCAGTTTTCTCCAGGGCTGAGCTCACTAACAGGTTATCCAATCCCAAGTGATCAGCCCCAAACACATGTACTTATGAGCAACACTAAATGGACGTAGTAAGCTGTGTGTGTGTGTGTGTGTGTGTGTGTGCGTGTGTGTGCATGTGTGTTTAACAGCATTAAACAAGAGGACACAAATTGAGAGGTAGTGAGGAGGGGATGTGGAAAGATTTGGAGTGGGAGGAGAGAGTTGTGAAAAAGTTGTAAGTACAGTACTCACATATGAAATTCTCAAAAAATAAAACTTAATTAATTAAAATAAAAATTTAAGTTCAGCCTTCCTCTAGAGATAACATTAATGCATTCATATATAGCTCCTCCTATAATATCATGTTTTTTAAAGTTTAGACTAAAAGGAAAGGTTAAGTAAGGTGTACACCAGTGTGAAAACCCACTAAACATCATTGGACGTTAACCACTACAGAAAGGGCGCATAGAACATAACAACAGAAATGACATTGACCTTAATGGTGTCGTATGTTCTAAATAATTAATCTTTGTTAGTAATAAAGTATTGCAAATTGATCTGCATAAAGTAATGGTTGAAGGAAGAATAAAATCCTATCATGTTATTAAGAACTTTTAGAATAACTATGAGATACTAAAGAGGTTTGGTGATAAGCACAGAATGTTAGAGTAAACAAGACTATTGTAATTATTCTATACTTCTCCTTGTTTTATAAAATAAATTTCAGAGAGTGGGAAAAAATCTTGCCTCAATGCTAGAGCTCAAATTAGAATCTCCAGTAGAAATTTCCAGTTCACTTACATTAGTCATTTTCTGGCTAACCATTGCAAAATGACTTTCTTAAAGCTTAATATTAAAATGCAATAGTCTTTACTTATGGTTTCCTAAGACCTGTAGTACATCTAAATCTATTTTTCATTTTTTCCTAGTCCTTATATTATTGGGACAATGAATCAGGGAGTTTCTTCATCACCAAATTTAGAGCTGCATCACAATTTCAGGTAAGTTAACTTGAAGGAGGGTGTGTGTGTGTGTGTGTGTGTGTGTGTGTGTGTGTGTGTGCCTGTGTTGATGCTGTTTCTTTATGTCAGCTCTTGATGGTTATTTTTCCGTTTGTTTCTTGGCAAGTGACCTGTGATGTGAGGATAATTCTCACGTCTCCTGAAATTCTTTTTCAAGCAGAAATTCTGTGATCTTTAACCTGTAATCAAAAGTGTTTCTTTAAAAAAAAAAAAAAAGTGTTTTTCCTGCTCACTACTTACCTGACTAAAATAGAGCACTTTTCTTCTAAGTGGGAATGTGAAGAGAGGTCCTGTTCCAGGATTTGTGATTCTCTCAGAGAAGCACACTCAGCATGTAACCTCCCCTCACTGCTGATGCACATGGACTTCTCTTTAGATGGGAAAGTAGAGTTCACTACATAGTAACTCTAAAGGCAACAGATGTCCTAATCCTTTACCGCATTAAATCGTGGACAATAATTAGTATGGAAGCATTATTTGTTTACATTGCAATGAAAATTACTATTCAAATAAATTTTAATTTAAATATCCTGATTTTATTTTCCTTTTGTAGATGGGTATTATGTGCAAACCACACAGAACCAGTAAAAGGTTTTTTAGGCAGGTATCTTCGAAGGAAACTGATAGAGATGGAAATTGAAAGGAACATACGCAATAATGACCTAGTAAAAATTATAGAGTGGATTCCTAAGACGTGGCATCATCTCAATAGCTTTTTGGAAACACACAGTTCTTCTGACGTTACCATTGGTGAGTTCCAAAACTACAATATGCCATTTCCCAGTCACTGAGAGTACTGGGTAAAGATGGCCACACTGGAGTATAAAACAAGCAAAGCTAGTATTGTCAAATCTGCCAAAGAGAAAGGATTTTTTTTTCTTCTTTAAAGCTTTGTCTTTTTCTGAGTAGTATATCTCCAGTTATTCCATTGTATCTAACAATTATGGCTTACAAAAGCAAGTTTGAAAATATCTAAAACTTGGATAACCATTCAGAGAAAAAATAGTCAAGGCACCTATTTTCATGCTAAGAAATCAAATTTTAACTAAAAGCTCATATCAAATTTGGCTGTGAGAGAAGACTTTAGTTATAGATAACAGTCTTACATAAATAATTTTAGTATTTCACATTTTTGAAGAGTTACTCTGTTTTATGGGTACAGCAGTGTGTTTTTTCATTCCTTCTGATGTAGCACATGCAGAAGTGCTTTTCCCTTTTCAGAGTTCATGCATACTCACTACAGATGTAGGATAGATTAGCAAGAATTCTATCCGTGGGTCAGATTACTTAAATGATTCCAATTCTGCATGTAATGACATTTGTAGTTAATAGTTTTACATTGTTTACATCAGTCAACTGAATTTTACATTGTTTGCAAACAGGACCAGATTGTAACCTTTGTTCTTTCTCTTCATTCTATGATTTGCTTTAGATTAATAGTTCATAGTTGTGAAAAGGAGAGGCCAAGGCTTTGAGTCTTTGGTAAACATAATAATGATAAGCTGGCTAAGATTATAATTTTCTAGTAATACACGCTTAGATTGGTAAATATAATTCTCAAAAATATTTTGTTATTTGTATCTTCTCAGGTCCTCGACTTTTCCTTCCTTGTCCCATGGATGTAGAAGGTTCTAGAGTGTGGTTCATGGATCTCTGGAACTATTCTTTGGTACCTTATATTCTGGAGGCAGTGAGAGAAGGTCTTCAGGTAGAGTCCTAATATTAATGTTTAAAAAACAAAGAACAGAAACCATTCTTCTAAAAACAAGAACCATTTATTTCCTTGGATATTTATGCAGAAAATCAAAGTTAGTAAAGAGCAACTAGCATATGGCATTTTGTCCGTTAAGACAGCAAAATATATATAAGAAGGCATGAAGTCAATTCTAACAACTACACATTTAAGGCCAAGCTTATTGCAATGGGTATTTATAATGTTCCTAGTAAGCAGCGACTTAATTCCACAGCTACAGATCTTATGACATGGCCATCCAACATGAGCATTCAACTGGCTTTTGCTAGTAGGTCACCTGCTTCCAGTATTCCTCTCTGTTTGAGGCCCTTTAACATCACATGTGATATCCTTTACCTTTTTTGAGGGAGTGCTATGAATTCTAAGTTAGTTGGCCTTTGCTGTCTATGACAGCATTTCAGCAGCATCTTGTCAACTGCCTGATACCATAGGGCACTACACCCAGTTCTTCTTTTTATACTAACTACAAAACAAAAATGTATCCCAAATAAGAAAATGCTGCTTCTTCAACAATATGTATTATCCTTTTCTATCAGTCTGTTTCCTTAAATCAGATTTGAAATTTCACAAAACTATAGAATTTGAAAACTTTTTAACATATATGTCACATAATCACCTAACTTCCTGTTAATGAGTTCACTCTCCTTTTCAATAACTCACCCAAGATTTAGTTTTTGCTTGGCATTTTTATTTATTTTTCACTATTTTTATTTTATGTGTATGAGTGTATTGCCTGCATGTATGTAAGTACACTTGTGTCACGCAATGCCTTTGGAGGTCAGATGAAAATGTAGAATCCCCTGGAACTTGAGTTACAGAAGTTGCTAGCCAGTATGTGGGAGCTAAGAATTGAACCCAGGTCCTCTGCAAGAGCATCCGGTGCTCTTAATTGCTGAGCTACTTTCCAACCCCGCTTAAGTATTTTATTTCTGTTTTTCCTAATTGCTGCTAGAACTGAGTTAGAGGTCATAGTTTCTATTTTCTGTCCTCTGCAGTATTGTATTTATTTCACTATCTAGAATAGTGGTCTTCTAGTTTCTGTTCTTTCACTCAAGCTCTCTCATCTGCCGGAATGACCTGTTGGATTTCACCATGACCATGAGGTTCTGTGAACATGAGAAGTGGCTGAGGTTGCTCTGAATCCTCAGAGAGTGAGTCAAGATGCCCACTAATTCTACCGATTGCTTTTACTCCAGATTTAAGTAACTCATTTGCATATTTTAAGAGTATGAGCAAATGTAGCCCCAGTAAGTGGCTCCAAAAGAGAAAAATGGTTTTTATTTTTCATAAAATTTCACATTTCATGACTTTTCTAAAACTCATACTGCCTCTTATGTTTCATTTACTCAAAAAATATGTTATGATTTATTAAAATCCATTTGTATTATAAAAATTATTTTAAAATTAACACTTAAGTGAATTATTTGTCTATCAGATTCAGTTTCTGTATTATAAATTATCATCCTAGCCTTTATATGAGATTCTTATTTAGTATTTACTTGCTAATAAATGAAAAAGAATACAAACCTTAAAAGCCCCAAAGCAACAATATCTAAAAAAGCTTAGCTTCCTCAGATTTTATTTTTAAAGATGTATAAAAACTTTATATTAAAATCAATAATATTATAAAACTATTTCCTGAACATTAGAATTTTGTAAATCTTCAATTTGGATGAGAGTAAAGTCATTTAAATAATCACAGTTTCTCAAACTGAAATTGAAAACCATTTTTAAGTTATTCTGAAGATGAGTATGTCTTGTTTTTTGTTGGAATTCTAGATATTTAGTGTGAAAGCTGAACCAGTTTTATAGGGATAGAGAATCAAGTGGGAATTCAGAGCATGGAATAGAAAAGTATTATTTTATTAGATAGATAGTTTTCATTGCAATTGAAGCCTATTCTAGGCAAAAAGTGACTTGGATGCTGTTGTAGTACACATTCATGACTTCTTGAACAGGAAATATCATGGGTAATCCCCATGGATCTAATGGTACCAAAAAATCTTAAGTTAGAGGAAGAAGTGAAAACTTGAATATGAAACTCTTGAGTTTGGGGAAATGAAAAAGAAAAATATTTTTCGGCTGAATGCTGGTACTTTGCTGAAAAGCCATACGGGGGATGCTCTCTCCCACATGTTTTGGTTGGGAAGGATACTGCTGACAAACTTCATCTGAATTTTTCTTCTGGTGATTCCATCTTTCTTGAAATGTCAGCCATCAACTAAGCCCATTATAAATGTTTAAATTTCTTGTCTTTTCATTCTTTCTATAATATGCACATTTTTTGTCACGTGCACTGTTGTTCCCCTGGTGATTCTTTAAAAATAATCAGTTTGTATGCTCTCAAGTTCTTTTCAAGTTAGTTCTAGACTTGCAAAACCTGTTGTTGTTGTTGTTGTTACTATTGTTGTTGTTGCTTTGAGACAGGATTTTACTATATAGCCCTGACTGGTCTGGAACTCAGTATGTAGACTAGGCTGACCTTGAATTCACAGAGATCCTCCTGCCCCTGCCTCTAGAGTTCTGGGATTATAGCCATGCACCACTATGCCTGACAAAAATTCTTTTTTTTTAATATAAACTTTCTAAGAATTATACATTTTCCTTTTAATTAGTTGCATATCTAACAGTATTTTACATCCTGTATAAAGTGATTTTTAGCCAAGAGAAAACTTTCTGCTCCAAAATGAGAGCTATTAGAAAACAAGACAAATAAAAACAAAAACAAACTAAACCCCTTCAGATTGTTGCTTCTCTGTTCTTGTGCCTAGAAGAAATGCATAGATATTAAGACCTATATTCCTTCTGCATTAAGAAAAGCTTAATACACTTACATATAACTTCTCCAAGAGACCCCAGAGGTATCCTATGGACTTTTGCGGTCAGTGTCTACATTTTCTTTTTTCTCACTAAATCACTGGAATCTACGAGAAATGCCCATCATAGGCAGACAAACCACAAGTTGTCCTCTGAGGTCAGGTGAATACCTGGTTACCAGGATTGTCCTCGGTGGCACAGGGCAAAGGGGAAGAGGAAGCTCATTACTATATCCTCTTAAGTGTAACTTTTCTTTCTGTGCCATTTTTGGGCTTACCCTTTGTCTTAAAAAAAAAAAAAAAAAGAATGTCATCAACCTCTGTCTCCTCCATGTCCTCTCTCCAGCTTGCTTTCAGCTTTGCAACCAGCTTAGAAACTCTTGGCACCTCTCCTTTCTATTCTACCAGCAGTAATTTAACCAGGCTATAGAATCTGTATATTATTAGGCTTCTGGCTTTCCTATGAGTCCTACCAAATTGATACTTGAGTTTTCCTATTTTTTCTTCTTTTCTTAGTGGTCTTACAAATAAACATCTCCAAATTATTTCAACAGGAAGCAATAGAATTATAGGAGGAAGTTATCAGAGAACTCTCAGAAAAAGAATTTGAGTTCAGTGAATGAAAAAGTTTCTTCTTCATTCATCATCTTGACAAAGGATACTTTAGCAAAGAGTTCCCTTTATTATAAGGACTTTCTTTTTTATCAACCTTGAGTTTTCTCTGGGTCTATAAAGTTATTAGAAAAAACAAATATAGATGGTGATGTGCTCCTTCATGCTTCCCCAAGTGCTGGTTATCTAGAAAGATGTTCTCTGCTGTTTTGTAGACCTTCCAAGA